AGAATTTGCCAGAGTTTGTTGTGATCCACACAATCAAAGGCTTTTGCATAGTCAATGAAGCAGAAGTAGATATTTTTCTGGAACTCTCGTGGATAGATACCTCTACTTAGAAGAAAGGGCCTGCCAGTGAGGTTCTAACTAACTTATCCCCACTCCCACTTCCAGAGGCTTTGGGAAAGAGAAACTGGGTGAAGCAGAGGTGCAATTCAAGATGCTGGTTACCATCTTTAAAGCCCTACATGGTACAGGACCAGGTTATTTGCAGGACTGCCTCTCCCTGAGGGTATTTGCCCATCTCACCAGATCTGATAGGGTAGGGACACTCCAGCTCCCTTCCCAGAAATCCTTTTAGCCTTTTGGAAGGCCATCAAGACCTGGTTCTTTATCCAGATGCTGGGGTAGAGTGATGTGAGCCTGTGGATGACTGAGGCATCAGGTTTTTAGTTTTATTCTTGTGAGCCAGGAGTTGTGCTGTAAGATGGGTGGCCATGCAAATTTTTTAAATAAATAAGCAAGCAAGCTGCAGGAAGGGCTAATTCACTGCATATTTTCTTCATATCATTGCCTGCCTGCTGGTCTCCTTTTCAAGTGGGTGTTGCATTTCCTAAGAGGGAGTGGAAGCTAGTGCAAGAGAAGCAGGGAAGTGATCTCTGCCTGAGCAGTGAGCTGATGGGCCATTATTAAGTCTGTATTTCCTTTGACCTCCAATTGCTGTCTGCCCAAACTAAGCCCTAAAGAAAAACAAAGATTCTGGGTGTCTGTACTTAGAAAAGAGCTGCAACTTGAGGATGAAAGGCAATCTGCATTAAAAAATGGCAAATCGTTTTCAACATATGCTGTAGCCAAGAAGGAGAAGCAGTCAACGCGGTTTGTTTGTTTTTTTAAATCCCCCCTTTGTACGATGCCGAGAGAAAAGAAAACGTTGTATTGACTTCAAAGAACTTTAGATGATCATTGTCAGCTCTACTCCCAACGAATACATTGAACAAGCTTGGCTTTTAAATGAGGTACTGAAACGCGAACGCATTTTTCCTCTCTCACCACAAGCAGGAAAGTTCTTTCATTTTCTTTTCGTCTTTTTGTTTTTAAGCAATCTTAATGAATCCCACATGAGAGAATCGCTCTTCCCAACCGCCTTTAGTTGGCGGATGTCCTGACCTGCACCGTTGCAGAGCCTGAAAGGGAAGGGGCGGAAGCAAAAAAAGCGCTGCCTCTTTAAATGACACACGAACGCGCGCGCTTAGTAGCTCGGTCTGGGAATGAAGACCATAAAGAAACCAGTTCTTGTAATGGGAAACAACCCCAAGCAAAACGAGGGCAATTTAGTACGGAGGCACAGTCTCGAAAGTTGAAAACATTCCTGGAGTCACACCACCTTCCCAGTTAAGTCTTCCGCAACCGTCGGTTGCGCGCCTGTATCGGGAATCGCAGCACCCCGGTTCTTTTCCAAGAGGACGAAGCTGCACGGATGGGCAAGGGCGGGCCGCTGGGCCTTGTCTGGTACCCGGCTGGCCATGCCTACTGCGGGCAGGGAGGAAGGGAAAGAAGCGCTCCAAGATGGCACCTGCGACGCCTGCGAGCCTGACGGAGCTCAGGACGCCGCGCGGCTCTGCCAGAGTTGCGCCTTCGCCTTTTGCCAGCTTCACGCAGGACGGAGGCAGAAGTTCGGCGCCCAGCGGATGACGGCTCTCGCCCCCAGGCAGAAGGTCGGGGACTCGGCGGAAACTCCCCAAGAAGGGGAGGCGGAAGGGGTTGGCAAGCAGGTGCAGAAGAAGTGCAAAAGCACGGCCAAGACCTCCGCTTGTACTGCGGAGAGCACGAGGAAATCATTTGTGTGCTGGCCGCGGTGACGGGCTCGCACCGGCCGCATGAGGTCATCATGCCAACGACGCCTAGGAAGCCGCCGGGGTAAGGCTCTGGAGCAGGCGCTGGAAGCTGGATTGCTTGCAAACGGCGGGGGCGGGCCACTTGGTTTCTTCTCTCGCTAGATTAAATGCAGCCGGGATCTTATTCCACGCAAGCCTCTGGAAGTCACCTGCTAAATCCTTGTGAGCGAGCATCTCTCGCCACGCATCTTGCTGACCGCCTGTTGGAGCTCATCCCAGTGTTAGCGAGGCTTATCACGTGTTTATCCTGGAGAACTGGCCAATCTGTTGTGAGTTGGCGTTCCGGGTGATACTCCTTTCCCATGGTTTGCTAGCTAGAGGAGTTTCAGCTCGAGGAGTAGATATGGAAATAGATATGGAAACAGAAATTCTGTGGAAGGAGGGTGCCAGAAATACCATTTGGTTGCCCATGTTGTGGGTTAAGGAAGGACCCTCTGTACTGTCTGTACTAATGGTCAATGATGAGTCAAGAAGTAGCAGATGCTTTTAGGCACAGGACTGTATCTGTGAATCAACTAATTCTGTTCTGATGAACCACAGACTGACCAATCATTTGTGCAAACTTGGAAAATTAGGTTGAGTTACATCATGGGTAAGCATGCCTACATGTACAGCTGACTTTAGCAGATGCTGGGCCAAAAGCTGTAAGATGTTGGAATGCATTTTTGCTGTAATGCTAAGGTTAGCCATCATAAATGCCTTCATTAAGAAAATGAGCTTCTCATCACTAAGCAAGCTTTACAACTGCAGTGTTTTTTTTTCCTTTGCAAGACCAGAAAAGAGAGAAGGGAATTATGAGAGTCATCTACTACATCTACTAAAGGATTCAGCTTTAATTACTTTGAATTTTAATTACTGCAAAATAATTCCATGGACTTTGTCAGAATTATGTAGTGCATAGAATTTAAAAGCCATACCATTATGCTAGTACAAGGCATCAGTCTGCTTACTCTAATCTTATCTTCAGACAGTTTCCATTTCTGTTTTGACATTCCTAAAACACAGCAAAGTAAATGTGATAACCTCTGTCTATTAGCTTGCTTACTGGGTCTTTTTTTCGTGAAAGAAAGCTGTCTGAATTTTGCAATATAGGCAGAAAATCATCAGGAAAAGTATACAACCTGGCCTCTATCTCAGAAAATTTTGGATGTTAAAAGTTTGTTTGCCAGGCAGCTAAGGAAAGACCTAGAATGTGGTTTCCTTGTATTTATATATATATATATTTTCCCTACCCTTTCTCTAGATAGCTCAGGGAAGCATATATAATTCTCCAATTTATCATTACCAAACTTTGTAAAGTAGAAAAGAAGACTGAAAGACTGGAACTGGCCCAAGGTCAAGCAACGAGCTTAATAGTGGTTCTGAACCATGTTTTTTATAGTCTAACTTTTTCCAACCTGGTACTTTCCAGATGTGATTTGGAATTCCCTCAAACATCAGTGGATGGAACTTATAAGCCACATCACATCTGAGACATCGTCTCACACTGTCTAGTGCCATTGGATAGCTGGTCATCAGTTCCACGGTGGTGTTGTATTTGAGAATTTGGTAGTGCCTCATAACCATGGATTGCTAAGTCCTTTTTTGTACTAGATGGATTTTAGGAAGAGAAATGAAGAAGAAAAGAACTTTGCTATGGCCAGTAAATAGAGCCATATTTTTCACTTGTCTATGATAAAGCAGATTAATACATTAATGGAATGAACATTTCTGATTCTGTAGGTTCCATAAATCAGTATGTGACATATGAAATTACACTGGAAGATCCTTGAAAAACTATAGATTGGCAGACCATAGAAAAGTTTCACTTGTATAGGTAAGGGCAATCCTTTTAAGATGGCATATCATTGCTATTTATTGTTGGGCAAAACTTACTTCTACTGATATAGAACTCAGGTTCCCAAGACTTGCAGAATGTATATTCATCAGATTACTGGTTTGCTAGCACTAGAAGGTAATAACACGTTGTATTTAACTATATGATAAGTGGCTTACACAGTCCTTCCATCTTTTTCAAATAGGAGATGAAATGAAAACGATTATGAAGATAATTAAAGGAACAACTAATGTGGATAACAGATAAAGATGGGTTGGCTCTATTAGTCATAGGCATTGGACTGGATTGCATGTTTACCACTCTGCCAGATCACTGCAAATAAATTGTAGTGAGAACTTATTGATGAAATTCTAAAGTTGTGCTTCTTAATGGAAAGAGTTTAAATATGGCAGGCATGAGGATGCCATAGGACTCCCCAGATGATCAATAAACCATCTGAATAGGGTCACTGTGGTTATGTTTATTTGGATCTACATTGATTTTAGTGGAACGTTTAAATAATGAGAATCCTTTGGAAAGAAGAGTTAGAAAGGATGCTGCAAAATGCTTTCCTAAGTAATTGTTTTGTCATTAGATTTTTTTTAATCTTCCAGGCCACAACATGCCTCAAATCACTATCACAAGTACACATGAATAGGTAGACACATAAAAATGTTTGTGGATAAATGACTTTTATAGATTAGTTTGCAATGCTGCAATAATCTTATGTTAAGGTTGGCATCTTTTCAGAGATGGTAATTGAACAATATTCTGTATTGTCAGGAGCCATATAAGCTACTTAGGAGCCAAACATCATCTGACCTAATCACAGTTTGGATTCACAATTACGATAGCATCACATATCAGATTTCACTGGTAAAGAAATATTGTGTTCAATGGTACAAAGCATCAGCTTGAGTTATGCGCATGTCCATATTTATGTGCCTGCTAAGGACACAGCTGAATCTGTACACTTCCGAGAAAGAATAGCATTGTGTTTACCATGCAAATTATGAGTTTTTCTAAAAAGTACATCACAATTGCAGCTGGTGGCCTTGGAGGTTGAGGTATGTATGCATATTGATAAAGAGTTTGCTTCAACCTTGCTACACTTGCAAATATTAATTGAGTACAAGTAGCGTGATATTGACTCCACAGGATTCAATATGTAGTGTTTCAAAACTTTCCAGATCTTCCATTACCTTTTTGGAATTGTCTATATTTTCTTGTCAGCTGGCAGGTTGCATGCAGGGAAGACAAGCCACCCCTGCTTCTTTTTAAATATATCTCCAGTAAATCAAAGTGCAGCTGATAAGTTTAATTTGGGGTCTTTTTCCAAGCATATATAGCTTGTTGGAGGGTGATTCCTAGAAAAACACAGCAGTGTGCACAATTATAGCACGTGTTTCAGCAACAGTATTAATTTTTTAGCTGACAAAATAGGCTGGGGAAATGATAAAAGTCCCACAGGCTTGACATTTTCAGTGAGGAATTTATAGGAGTTGATTTTGTATGAACAGAGAGCTTTTATTAACTTGCAGCATTTTACTGTAGCAGAAGAGTAGTAACTGCTTAAGATTCTTCCCCATCACATGCCCCTTCCTCTCTACATTAAATGGAAGCAAACTCACTTTCTCCTTAAACTCAGGGGATAGGAAGGCTTAAATTTCCCACCTCTCCTGTCCATTGAGATTTCTTTCCCCTGGCAGCTGGTACACGCTGGACATTTTCCCAGTGTGTTTCAGCTAGATGGAAGTGTGTCTTTGTGGAAAAGGGTGCAGTTTAAATGAATTGTGATTGTGCAGAGCATTGACTGTTCCTGTAGGTCTTTTTCCATGTGCTAACTAGGTTCTAGCTGGTCTTGGCAGGAACAGAATTGTCTCTATGAGCTTACCTCTCTGTGCTAGTTATCCATGTGTGCCATTCTTGTCAGCTAAATTGTGCTCTTCCCAGCTTCACAACTGACTGGCAGTCTTGGGTTTGGGTTTGGCATTGGTGGACTGCTACAAAAACCTCTGAAGGCAGTGTTCAAGCCACAAGTTATCCACTCGTATTCCACATTTTTCTTAGGGTGTAGTGAATACAGTAGTTCTGTTGTTATGCTGTTATTTGGTTAATTATGGAAACTCCATGGAACTGGCGTTATCTTATCAGTGATTGATTTATATCTCACTTTCCCATAGGAACTCAAGGTGACTTATATAGCATTACCTCCTCCTGTTTTTCCACACCAGTCCCATGAGGTAGGTTGGGCTTAGAGCGAATTATTGGCTCCAAGTCATCAAGGGAGTTTCTATGCCTGAGGGTAGACTTGGCCCTAAGACTTCCCAGTCTTCTTCTTAACCTAAGGTTAGGTCTATATGTTACTGAAGTATTTGATGGTCTTCATTTTATCCCTGTCAACAGGTTTATAAAAAGTGAGCTGTATGATGTTACTTGTTCAGCAGTTGCAATGCTGTAGCCTTTGTTTCTCCCCATCTTGACCGTCGTGCTAAGTGTAGCCTCCAGCTACCAAAAAAAGCCCATCCTGGACTAAATGAATCAGCTTAGTATATATGGAAGTGATGTATACCAAATGAATTTTAAAATCTATGTTGTGTTTATGTATTTTATGGCAAGCGGGGGGAGGGGCATTTTTGTGCCACAAGCCTCATTTTTTTTTTTTTAGGTTAAGGACTGCAAAGTAGATGAAACCAGATCACACACATAGGAGCCGGGTTTGGCTTTTTTTGAGAAGTTTAGGATTTTTTTTAACTGACCTGCCTGCTTTACAGTTTTTATTAGTTTCCACTTCAGAATGGCAGGAAATTGGGCTGATTTTTCCTGCCATTCGGAAGTGGAAACTAATAAAGTGGTTTTCAGCATTCACAAAGGTGATTCTTAGGACTGCAAAAAAAGGGAAATGTGGTTTTCTTTGCAGTCTTGTATTATCTGGTTGCCAATTCATTTTTTATACAAAGTGATGTTAAAAACATTTACCTGAAGTCTGAAATGATATAGTACAGTCTGTGCTCTATTCTTCATTTTTGCTATCTCTGAAGAGGTATGTTTCATGCAACAATTAGAAGGCACGGGCTACCTTCCACAAGACTTGAAAATAGAATCAGAGCATCTTTCCAAACACCATATGCAACTAGTTACGATTCTCAGAACTGTCAGGCTCTGGCAATGAGACACCAGTTCAAGAAACTGGCTGAGAGCCAGTTGTGCATATTATTTAGACAAAACCTTCTTCTATTTGCAGACACAAGAAGAAGCTGTTGATGTACAATGGTACACAACCTTGACATAGTGGATAATATAGTTACATTGCCAATTACTTTCAGGTAGCAATGGCAAAAGGAAATTTATCTCCTTTCCCATTCCTCCTGCATTTCAAGAGAGCAGTTAACACCTGGCTTTTCCATCTATCTGGGTGAGATTGGGGGGTTGGGGGTTGGAAAAGTGAATGTATCGAAAATGATGTGAGGAGTGAAGCTGGCCGGGTGCTGAGGACTGATCAGAAACACACAGGTACCAGAGTGTGGGGGCTATTCCACTAGATTGTTTTCTTGTGTGAAGGGGCCCTTTTACCTGTGGAAGGGACAGCAAGCGGTGGGGCGATAGGTTCTGTGAGGGAGGAGAGTGCAGGCAGGGACATCATGGTGGTGAGGGGCATGGGAGAGGTGGGCTGTTCTTGGGGAAGGTGGCCTCTGTGTTTAGTGCAGATGCTACATTCCAGCCCCTTGTGCTTATCAGCCCCATGGCCATCATGGCAACCAGAGTAAGGACGGGTTGGGGATCCTTTGTAAGGTTGTAGTGGGGTTTATGCTCAGCATCTGATGGATAAAGTTGCTTGGATTGACTTGAAGCTGGAACCCAGCTGTGCCTGTCCTGTGGCGAAGACTGGGACACAGTCTTGTCTGGGAGGAATTTCTCAGGAAGTGGACTGGGTCCTTGGGATGCTGAGTCATGCCA